CACATGATTCACATTTTAATCAATTATTATGGGATCGATTTATGCTCAATACTGTAACCACCAGCCAAATTAATGACTTAAACGATCATTATCCTCTAGTTCTAGAGTGATCAATACTGCATTTTTTTTCTAGAAGCAAGGAAATTGCCATGGATGTGTGGTTTAGGGAGTCATGACCAAAATCAAGTTTTATTAGATGAGTTTTAAGTGGCTATAGCGTATTGGTGATCATTGCCAGGAGAAAGTTGTGAATCTTTAGTGGATTTGCTACCAAAACCAAAAACATCATTTCCAAATCTTTTCTATTTAATAAGGATTCAATATTAACTAAAGAAACAATTAATGTTCTAATTAGTATGAGTCAACTCTTATCATGTCTGAACTAATGGCTATGGTTGAGGAAAGTGGATTACCTTTTCCTATAGTGCTGCGACCACTATTGACTGACTCTCATCTATAAGCAATGAAATTGAATCAGATCGTGGATGATTTCATCCCTAGTTTTTAATTTTTAATTAAACTAAAAAGGACGATGTTTTATTTACTAGATCATATATAGTTTAAATCATTTTTTCAAATGAAATTATTATTTGGTGTCAACAACATGCATTATACGAATTTGAATTTGGGTCGTGACACAACAACGACATCAACACAAATCACCAAATTACTACATGTAATGGTCTATATCAAATGACTTTTTTCTATTTTGACCACATTATATAAAATTTTATAATATAGTTGATATTATATTCTATGAAACTAAAATAATTATAAGAACATTAGACGCAATTAATGTTAAAACTTTCTCCTTCCTGAATTTGTTGTTCCGGTTGAATCGAGACTTAGAAGAAAGAAATCCTCTACTCCCTCCGTTTTAATTTAGTTGTCGTTTTAGCATTTAAATTTTGTCTCATAATAGTTATTATTTTAAATTTTCAATGCAGATATTTTGTAAAAATTCCAGTTTTATTATCATAGTTTTAATGTCTTGACCAATAAAAAAATTTAGAGAATATATTGAAAAAAAGTAAAGTAGAAAATTTAATTGTTTCCTTAATTTTTGTGCAAAAACCTTAAACGATAAGTAGTTTAAAACAGATGGAGTAGTAATTAATCTAGTTTTCTCTTTAACATATTTCTTAACTATCTTGAAAAAGAGTTTACATAGCCATCGAAAAAGAAACATGTAAATAAACAATGTTTACAAAACCCTCTGTTACCATTTAGACCCCAAGTGAGGTCATCAGTCAACCAATACTTCTTCTATAAATTAACAAATTATCGAATCTTTTTTTTTCTCTTTTGTTAGTAATAGACTATTTAAGCTAAATTTTCACAAGGTTACTAAATGACATAAATAGGTGGGAACGATCAATCACGAGTGGTTTGCAAGAACTACATTGGAAATCGTAAAGCTAGTATCATTTTGTGGGTGTAGTTAAAATCAGGCATCTTGTTTCATGTCCTTTTCCACCACCACATAACATCAAACGTGAATTTTCCCTAACGATAGGACCACCATTGAGAGGTTACTCGGCCAAGGGAAGTCAATTTATGTGTAAAAGTGTTGCATGCTTCAACAACAAGTCTTGTTGAGGTCTCTATCAAGAATCTATACCATTTTTTCCAAGCGAAGAATAATTATCACATATTCACATGAAGCTCGTGCTTGTTTTTCTTTTTGGTAAATTAGATTTACCTAAGATATTCTGTTCTGCTTTCATTAACATGCCGTTTTTGCTGCCCGATTTCTAAATTCTAATCAGATGCTCTTGAAAATCTTTTTCTTTTTCTTGTTTGAAAATGATGTCAGAGAGAGATGAAGAGGTCAGATTTCACATGATGATATATATTTGATTGAAAAGACTACTAAACTTCTTCCACTAAGCGGTCTCGTGTAATACACTGATAAATACAGAAATAGTAGAAATCAAATGGATCATGATAAACACATGTTATTACCCAAATGAAGCACCAAAGTCTTTGGTTGAAAGAGTCAGATCGAACACGGAACATCAATACCTTACAAGAATACTAAACATAACTTCTGCAAGAAAGTTAATCTAATGATATTTTAAGATCAAAAGATATTTTATTAAAAAATCTAATGATGTATCATTAAACGAATAATTCTAACTTTTGACTAACGTTTAGAAATTTATTAAACAAATAACACACGATATAAAACAAAAAGAATAAACCAAATATTTTCTAATATCCAAAAAAAAAGAATTTTTTACAATAACCTATCAAAGGGATTAGCCGACTACCAAAACGGCAAAGTTTCAAAATAAGTTATAATGTTTCTAGCAAAACTTTTCAGGAAAGCACCAGTGGTTTAGTGGTAGAATAGTACCCTGCCACGGTACAGACCCGGGTTCAATTCCCGGCTGGTGCAATTGTTTTTGTTTTCCAAAATCTTTGAGATTTAAGGCCCGTTCTTTTTATTTTGCAGACAAGCCCAAAACTGTTTCAAAGTAGGCCCAATATCGATCTAAGCTTAAGTCAAAGGCATATCACAGATTCACACTACTTCTTTTAGTTTTCTTCTTTCCCAAGATCAAAATTTGTTGAAGAAGGAACACTCTCGACAACTCTTGAGACGGAATCGATGGCGAATTCTCAGACGGTGATGGCTATGATCAGGTTGGCTAGACCGCCTTTTCGCAACAACCACGACAAGGTTGCTTTCGCTATTCACTCTTCTTTCATCGCCTCCGGTTACATCCTCACTGCCACCGGACGGCCTGCTTTCGCCGACGACGCTCTCTCTTCGTCTTCTCAGAGTTAGTATTGGTTTCCGTTTAGTTGTTGTTGTTTTCGACTTTTTCTAGGGTTTAGGATTCTGATTTTGTTCGATTCTGGAATTTTTTAGATGATGTTGGGATCGAAGGATGGAACGAATTTGACGGAGAGTATGCGTTTGTCTATGCGAATCCGAAGAAAGGATCAAAGAAAATTCTGGTTAAGTGTTTGGCGATGGATGATAAACTTCTTGTTGATGCCATTGCTGATGGTGGAGCAGAACCTGCTCATCTTGAGATTAAGTATGTCATGGTTTCTCTTTTCTTTTTTGCTCGATTGTGATTTTTTTTGGTGCAGAATCTTAAGAGGTAGTAAGAATTTTCTGGTTTTTTGTGCAGAGTTGATAAGTATGCTGAGGAGAGCATTGAGGGGGATTACTCTGCGCAGTTCAAGAATTTGGATAAGTTAGTGACTGATTTGCAGAGTCAGATTCTCGATAAGCTTGATGGAAAACCAAAACCTGTTGCTTCGAGAGCCCAGTCTAGGTAATTTCCCTTATTAAGCACCAAGAATTTGATGCCTCTTAGTGTTTGATCATGGGGACTAGCAACGAACATATGATTGTAGCTTGTATTGTCACTGGACTGTCTTGGGGAAGTAAACATAGATATTCTCATTCGTGTAGTCATTTTTCCTTTGTCTTAAACTCACAGAAATAACGCATAGCAGAGTCTCTGCTGATTTTGTGACTCTATTTTAGTGGACTCGGTTTTGATTTGGTACATGTAATTCTCATTGTGGAACTTCGTTTTGTGGAGGCATTTCTTAATTGGACCAGAATGATATATGTTTCCTAATTCTTCAAGTTTATTCTATGATCTCCATTGTTTTATCCTTGGTTGCTTGCAGCTCTGAGAGAAATGAAGAGCCTAGATATTACGATGATACGCCTAATCCATTAGGCCCTCAGATTCACCCCTCAGGGTATACATTAACTTCTACTTTTTTGTGCTTATTCTTACGATCAAAAACTAAAACTTATCGCTTATTGACTTCCTAGGGTGGTAGTTCCTCCGATACCTGGTAATGGAGGTTACAGTGATCTCTTCCCTGGCCCAGGTGCTGGAATGTACCCTGGCAGGTGTGTTATAGATATTTATAGTTTCTATTGTATAACTGTATCACTTCATTTCATCTCTAATGTCACTAACCACATATATTTTCTTTATTTTCTCTCCCCAGGGGTGGTTTTGGGGATGGAAGCATGCTTGTAGGTAGGAACGATCCTTCAATCCTTCTTGAGAAACGAGATATTATCACAGCTTTACTTGATTACAATTTGATAAACTGATTCTGTTTGGTCGCAGGACCTTCTGATCCTCGTTTTTTCCCATTTGGTGATGGTTCTGATCGACCTGGCTTCATGGGACCACCACAACCGTAAAATCTCTCTTTCTTTTACACAGATGCACATACACATACACAGCCATATAATTGAACACATGAAAAGTTCTCTTAATTGTTTCTGACAAGTAACCATGGATTTTGTTTTGGTTTTGACAGGGATATGCCACCTCCTGGTGCTCGTTTTGATCCTTATGGTCCACCTGGTGTTCCAGGTTTTGAACCAGGCCGGTTCACAAGGTAGTAATCTTATGCACTCAGTACTCTCCTTACTAAACTCCACAATTAAAATCTGTTTTGTAAATGGTTCTGACTTTTGTTTATATTAATCTGTGTAGGCAACCTCCAAGAGGGCCAGGAGGCGGGCACCCAGATCTCGAGCATTTTCCCGGCGGTTCAGATTTTATTTAGTAATGTAAAGCAATCGCCAAGGAAATAGAGAAAGCATGAGCACAACTTAAAGTCTGGTAGTAACTACTTATAGACAGTAGGATCTAAGTGGGTTTTTTTTTGTCAGCTGTTTTTGTGTTTGGTGGTGTTGTTGGTTTTATTCCCCAGCTGATTGTTTATAACTTCCAATAAATATATAAATAAAGACTTGGTTTATTTCGCTTTTAAATTTCCGTTGGCGAAGTATGAATCGGTCGCCATATAGACAATGGCTTGAATATATTGAGAATTTGAAAGCGGTAGCATCATGTCTTTTTGCTTCAACTACTTCGCGTTATTGAGATATGTTGGTGATAGATTTGACTTGCAACTAAGTTATACAAGTGTTTGCCAAAAACGACACCAGTTTAAACAATTACAAGTACAAAGTTGATACTCTGTTTCTGTTAAGGAAATAATTTAAGAACGTAGAGTGGAATCATTTTATATATTTATTAATATAGGTCCAATAACAGTCACACTGCTGATACATATAAACATTATCGTTATTCATATATTATACGGTACATGGAGACATAGTAGTAAACTCAAAGCTTCCACATAAAGCTCAGTGTTATCTCCTTCATCCTTATAGTCGTCAACAATCTACGGAAGTGTGTATGCTATAAGCAAATGGAAAAAAGAAACAAAACAACATTAGATAGATATTATGAAAATTATTATTAAAGTAAAAGCATAATATAAAGATATAACATAAAGTCAGATACATATATACTTACGTCCACACTTGTAACCAACTGGGCGGTTAGCGAAATTGCAGCGTTTTGGGATGGTAAGGGCAACCTCAGGATCAACACCGGAGGCTTTGGCCGTGTCGGAAAGAAGAATGGCGCAGAGACATTTAGGGTTTTGAGAAAATCTCTTAATCTGAGTGCAACAACCTCCTGGCACGGCGGTGTTTGCGTCCTGAGCTGCACCTGCACATGGAGCCAGCTTCATTGCTTCATTGTCCGGCGAAGATCTACCGCACTCTCCTGCACCGTCAACAACGGCTCCAACGAGGAAGATCAGGCCAAGTATGCAGAGAAATTTAATGGAAGATGCCATTTAGTTTCTTGGAGGGATTTGAAAGTAACCAAGATTGTGTTTTTGTTCGATGTTGTGTTGTGTGTTTGAATTGGATTCGTGAATGTGTGAATTTATATAGCGGAAGATTGAGTGCAGATTTGAGGCACTGAAGGTAGTGGAATAAGCACTTGAGTTTAGTGAGAGAGAGGTAGTGTTCTTACCTACAACATAAGTTCCAGGTGTTGATGTCTGAGAGAGCACTCAAAAAACCTCATAATTCTTATTCGGTATTATCAAATCGGATGGTGGATTTGTGGGAGTTGTGTCATCACCGTCCATGTAGTATGTAGCTTTTAAATTGGTGTTAATGGGTGGAAGATTAAAATAGAGTTTTTATTGATTTTATTATTATTATTGGTTAATGTGAAGTGAACGGATGAAACATTCTTGATCTCTCTTTAACAATTCTGAATTTTGGATGCTAAGTAATACCACTAAAATGGAAACTTGAATTTATTCGAGTTAAAAAAACCTTGTACCACAAGTTACTAACATAAGTATGAAAAGCGTAGATGATGGAAACCAAAGAGAGGCACCTGTGAGAGTTGGCTCTGTCTATTTGTGGGTTAATCAAACTAAAGGACTAAACAAAATCGGATAATGGTTTAGTTGAGCTGGTTACATAAAGCTGTGGCATTCTTAGTAATTTTGATCAAGTTTGCTCTGTTTCTATTGAAACTAAAAACTGGGCTTAAATCCCACCGGCCCGTATAACTTCGGCCCATAGTCTTGTTTTTTCACTTAGCTTTGTTGTTTTTCTTCTTCTGTCTTGATCTCTTAACATTCTACGATTTGTTTCTATTTGTAGTCAATTTCATTAAATTTTCAAATCGATCATTACGATGACGTGCAAAATAAGTAAATAAATTCACCACGGTGATATATCTGTTTTAACAAAAATAAATTATTCATTCATATATCTAATTTTTAATGTAAATTTTTTCTGTGGAATTTTTCCTTGAGAAATATTCTAATATTTGTTTCCATATAGTCAATGATCAATGTGAAAGAATCCAACCTGCCCATGTGATTTCTGTAGCACAAACTTATTTTTAAGAATACTTTGGATATACAAAAACTCCATTTAATCGAGCCCACCACATGTTCAAGCAGATCACATGGAGTGATTCCAGCAAAATACAGGAGGGGTCTTTTTCAAAAATGCCACTTTTTCAATGCTATTTTTTAAAAATACTTCATTTTAAAAACCTTATAAAAAAATGCTTTTAAAAATATAAGATTTACCCAAATATATATGTAATATTATTAAAACATAAATAAATTATATTTCTATGTATCTAAAATCTTATAAATACTTTATAAATACCTTATAAATGCATTTTAAATATCTTTAAAAACCTTTAAAATATTTTGTAAAACCTTTAAAAAATCTTAAAAATCCTTTAAAATAACTTATAAAACCTTTAAAAACACCTTATAAAATCTTATAAATACTTGGATCGAGTCTTCAAGTAGTAGTTACAATCCATAAGTACCTTATAAACCTAATAAACTTTTATAAAATTTTCAGATTTAAAAAAAGACATTTTTGAAAATAGATATCTAAAAAAAACATTTTTGAAAAGAAACACACTAAAAAAGGTATTTTTAACAATTTCCCAAATATTAATTGAAATAATCCACAAAACAAGAAGAAGAAGAAAAAAAACACTCTGGGCTCTTTTTTGTTGTAGTCGAATTACAAATAAAACCAACAAAAGGTTCTTTTATTAATAAAAGCATAAAAATGCGATAATGATTATATTTGGTAGGGACTTATGAGATAAAGACATCTTTATTTAGTGAGAATCGTTATCCTTGACAACGGTGACAGGGCAAGGCGCGTGTTGGATCACAAAGCTGCTCACGCTTCCCATTATTATCCTGTTTCATTGTTTTTAATTATTATTAGTCATTTACACTTGGAAAATATCTTCTTTACACTTCCAGACAAAAATGGTCCACGATTAAAGTTTAGAAGATTTCAGTACTCAAAGATTACCAATGATAAATATCACCGTTAAAAATATCAAAGATTAAATCAAAGACAAGTGTGTAACCACATACTTATTAGGTTTTCTTATAAGAAAAAGAATCTTAAATGTTTGTTTTTTCTTAATTATGAGATAAAGACAAAATTCAAAGCTAAAGCTAAAACCTAAAACCTAATCCATAGCTAAGCTAAAGCTAAAAACTAAAACCTAATCCATAGCTAAAGCTAAAACCTAAAACCTAATCCATTGTCCATTTTCTTTGAGAAGTAATTGTCATGAAAGTTGTATACTACCATGTTCCTCGAAAGATGTTTAATTTAGAAGACCAAAATTGTTGAAAGTAAAGTGAGATGGTTTTGGATTATTAAACCACGAATTGAAAGCCACTGGTATTAGACATTGTCTTTTAGTTAGGTAACGAGCGTTTCTTTAATCATGGATTTGGACCAACACCAACTAATATCAATGGCCCTTGATGAAAAAAAAAAAAAAAATCAATGGCCCTATTATCTCACAATTTATAATTTCATATAAACCAATACTAAACACTTTGCAATAATGGCATTTTGGCAAGACGATTCCCAATATGGAATAGAATTTATTACATAAAAAAAAAGGGAGCAAGAGATTACCTTTGAAGAGCACTGAGTCCTCTGCTTCCCATGACAATAGAATCGAGTTTAAGATCTTTAACAGCATCAACAAGCTTCTCTCTTGCATCTCCCCAGTATAACTTGGTCACTACATGCACCTTTTTATTTCAACAAAACCACCATTAATTTATATAGTTTCTTTATCAATAACTCTTTGAAAACAATGTATTTTGATTCGGATAAAAAAAAACACCTCTTTCTGCCTCGAGCCAGTGTCGAGCATATCAAGACATGCGATGTCGATTTTGACACCGTATTTCTCCATAACCTCCGGTTCCCTAAACTCTGCCAACGGTATGAGAGCTGCAGCACCAAATTAAACCGTATTAAACCGACAGATCAAATCGTAGAAGAAGAGAAAGAACAAAGTAGGAAACTTACGAGAACCGGATTTGAACCAGAGAGAGTTACGAGATTCATCGTCAGAGAGTGGTAGAGTGTGGATGATGTAAAGTGTGTCTCCTTTATCTGCTAAGTTCTCGATCGCCCATTGCAGAGCGTTCTTGCTGCTCTCAGAGAAGTCCATGGCGATTCCGATCTTCCTGTCTTTAGGCATCTTTCTTGACCCTTTTTCTTCTTCTCAAGAAACTTTGAGATGGTTTTTTTGGTTTCAAGATTTTTCCAGAGAGAAATGGTGGTGACTTGTGAGAAGGAAGTTTAGCTTCTAGCTTCAATGTTTAAGTTAATATAAGGATTTGGAAGTTTCGTTGATGCTTCTGTCCGATGTAGGATCCATTATTATGACTCATTTGTTTGCATCTGAACCGTCCATTTTTAAATCGTACGGTAGCAAGCAAAAGTATTTAGATTTTTGTTTCTTAAATGAAATCTTTTTTTTATTCTTACCGACAGATCGATAATGAAATCTTGTAATTGAATTTGTTTATTGTTTGTTTAGAAGCCGTACTACTAAGTAACGAATCCAATTACGTACAAACTTGTATAAAAATTAATACAAGTAGCTTTTTTGTATATAGAAGCTACTTCGTTAAATTTTCATCTCTATCGTATACATTTAATTATTTTATAAAAGAAAAAACTGTAGAGGTGTTTGGATCCAACAATTTGATGGCCAAATATATATAATATATTGATATGTTTTGAATCTTGATCACCGCTAATAAAAAGTAGTAGCACAAGGATCTCATTATAGTAGATGACTTTAGTCTTAAAAAGGCATTTTCTGGCAGTGATTTAATATTAAATGAGTTGTTTTACCGTTGGGTTAGGATCGTGATTGCTGAGTTGTAAGCAAATAGCCATGAAATTGCACGTTTGATGATGATTAAAATATTATGATATGTAAATGAAAAGTCATAATAAGAAAACAATCTTTATCTAACTACAAATGTGAACTAATCGTATGGATAGGATAGGACTATTCGCATAAATGATAAAGGTTTTTTTTTTTCATGTGTATCTTATTTTATAACACCAACATGAATATATACGTGGCTGAGGATTAGGGCAACTACGATTTAAGATGTATCTTAGATATGAGACTACCCCCACTCAAATCATTCGTTTTTTTATTGCAAGTTTTGAGTTAGTTAAATGTGTATTAATTTGGTTTTAAATTTCAACTTATGATTTCAATGCTTACCAACGGAAGTATCATTCAATTGTTTTTTGTATATTCATAGACTTTTGATATCAAAGTAGGAAAAAAGGATCAAATTAAGTTGAATACACGAACATCAGAAAACTCAAAAGTTTTAAACCGATAATTTGCAACTCAACAAACCTCAAGATTAATACTATTAAGAAGAAGAAAAATGATAAACTAATGACTTAATTGTTGTCATCATCGTCGTGGTTTGACGAATTTTGGGCTGCCTTCTTGATACAAACTAGAAAACATCGAGGTACTCATCAATTTTGCCTTCTTGATACAAACTAGGTCCTCAAAAACGCCCTCTCAAGATATAGGCATTTTGTCGTTGACATTTTCTTCATATTAATGAATTTCCTGTTTTGGGAATATATGGACTCCTTTGTTTGATATGATCATTGATAAATAGTGCCGTCAAAGTTTAGTCTTCTTCAAAAGACCAATCAACTTATACATTTGAAATCATCATGCCTGATTTATTTCTTTGTTCTTAAATTTATGGGGCTAACTAAATGAATATTTGGAAATACCTTTGGGCTGATCTATTTAGATGGTCCCTGATATGGGCTTTTAATGAAATACGTACCTACCCACGAAATGTGAATTCTTCCTACAGGTGCGGCCATTTGTAGAAATAATAAATTCTTGGATGCGGGATCAAAGCAACTATGTTCTAAAATTATTGTACATCTTATATGTATGAAAAAATTTGATTGTTTGCGAGAGATCATGTTATAAATTGTGTGAATGAATTGGCTAGCAATGCATAGCATGAACATGGATGATGGTGGGTGTGATAAATATCGAATTACATGATCATAGGCCACAGCGATTGTAAAAGTTGTAAGTGTCAAGTTATAGGGGGTCGAGGGTGTGTTCGAGGGATATGGTATGGTGTCACTATCAAGAGAAACATGTCAAGCTATATGACTTAAGAGTTTTTGTTGAAATTCTGAATAATGTGCTCGAAGGCCTTGGTTGATGTGAATATGTCACGATGCTTCACAAAACCCTAGAGTCAAAGCACTACATCTTTTATTTTGTATAACTTTTCATACGTTAAATTAGCTTACATTGCAAGCAAAAACATGCGAAGATCTCTCTCTCTCGCTAAGTCTAAAGTTTTGAGGAGATTGGGTATGGTCCGCCGTGTATACATGTGACAGTGGAGCCTACGCACGTGACGGTAACATGTGCGATCCATCTAAACATTATCCTAATTTGCAGCTTTAATTGCCAAAAAAAATTAGGATTCAATCTTTGCGTGAATCCATAATCAATAATCATGGATCGGACTTTGTACCGGACATATATTCGGTTTAGCTGTCTGATTAAATGTGCGATCGAATTTATATTGTCTGATTAAAGTGTTTCTGAAAAATGCAAAATAGTATGCTAAAACCCTTTTCGAGACATTTAACAAATCATATTGCAACATATTAGCTTTATTAGTAATCATCTTAAAACTTTGTTACTGCAGGTAAACTATTTCTTAGTTAATCATCCAAGAAATAAATACAAAAACAAATTTCTCAAAACATATATAGGGTTAGGTTGAGGATTATGATGTGAATACTAGTAATCAAAATTATGTATGCAATTACCAAGTAACGATCACATGTTGTAAGCAACTTATTCGATCAACCAAATATTTTTGAAATCAGAATTGTATAAAGAAATGTAGTTGAATATACGGGAAAACAAGAGAAGGTCCCATATGGTTCTTTGGTTGGGAATAATAGCTCCAGCCAATTATATTTTTATTTCGGAAACAAACATGAAAGTATATTTATAAGAGAAAAAGGAGACAAAAGCAAAGAAGAGGAAATTATGGAAACAAACAAGCTTAAGTAACCTCCCCAAAATTGAAAATACTTAAAGAAAAGCATTTATAATATTTGATATTTTCATCGTGATATTGTTATTGCCACCGAAATCAAAATGGACTCCACCACCCCACCCAGAAAAAAAAAAACAAGCTAACGAGAAGTAATAATTAAAAACAAAAAAACCATTGGTTAAATTATATAGTCAAGATCTTTTGTCCAGTTCAGACAAGTCTCGTGTTGTCCATGTGATGTGGCTTTAATTCTCTGTATGTCAAATAACATCATTTTTTTTTTTAAAGCTCATACCTTTCATTAAACATCAAATTCTTTTTATATTTTATATATGAATTAAAATTCGAATATTTTCATGTTCTTTAGGCAAAAAATGTCTTTATCTTTAGAAAAAAATGTCTATCTCTCGACATCTTTTATGTTTTCATGATCATATAAACTGGACCCGAAATTCTAAGCCTGCTATAGAGAAACTAAAGTTATATGTTAAGAAACAATTACGACTCCTGTCTAGTCAACTCTAGTCAACTTTGCTGAACCAATTTATGTTAAGGTGTGTTTTTGCAAAAAATAATACTTCTTTGGGATCGATCGGCGGCGTCTCCGACTTTATTTGTATGATCAACATACAAAGTAGGCCTAGGCATTCGGATTTCAAATTGGATTCGGATCGGATATATTCGGATTCGGATAATTCGGGTATGAGAGTTTATTATCCGTTCGGATTTTATGATTTTTCGGTTCGGTTTCGGTTCGGATATATTCGGATTCGGATAATTTGGGTAGGAGAATTTATTATCCGTTCGGATTTTATGAGTCATCGGTTCGGTTTCGGTTCGGATAGGTGTCGGATTCGGATCGGTTTTTGGGAAAAAAAAAACTTAAAAATAGTTCAATGTTAATAAAAATTGGTTTAATCTTACTAAAATTTGGTTAAATTTTGCAAAAATATGTATAATTTTAACAAATATAACTAAAATTTTTCCGAAATCTAGGATATTTAGGATATTTTTGTTATTTGCTATAAAATTACAACTAAATATAACTAATATTTTTGGATATATAATTTTTATTTCCGGTGTTCGGATATCCTTTCGGTTTTCGGTTCGGATCGGGTTCGGTTCGAGTAATTCGGATAGGAGAATTCATTATCCGTTCGGATTTTGTGACTTTTCGGTTCGGATTCGGTTCCAAATTTTTCGGATCGGTTTCGGATCGGTTTTCGGATTTCGGGTTTTATGTCCAGGCCTAGATAAGGATTACAAAGACAAGAAAGCATGTCATGCACGTTTTATGGGCCGGAAATAATGATCCATCCACAATTATATATGTATTTGTGGGTCATACATAACGGTGTATTTTGTAATATTTTCTTATTAAAGGTTCGAAAACTGATTTAATCGTATCACAAAACTAAATTTAAGAGCCTATTCTGGTTTAAAGCTAACGGAAGATGATGGAGTGGGAGTCTTCACACTAATTAAAAGCATGGTCAATAATAATATTCGAGTGGTTGGTATAATAGTGCTTAGTTTTGATCGTGATAAGTCAAAGAAGTAGAAAACGATGTTGTAATAACTTCGTTTTATCTTTCGGCGAAAAAAGAGAAATTGCTAGTAGTATTTAGGGGAAATTCAAAATCGAGGCTCTCTCTTTCTGCTTTCACTTTGTTTTATTTGCGGAAAATGTGTTCTATGATTTCGGAAAGTTTGTGGGAGGGCAATCATAGTAACATTCATTCCCCCGTCAGCATAATCCAACACATCATCTACTCTAAAAGCATTAAGCAATTTAGGAATGAAGAATTTAAGTACACTATGTATAATGCATCTTTTATCTTTCTTTTTTTTTGTCACATTTATTACGCCAAATTATAAGTATTTGGATTATCCGAAGCTAACCCACATAATTAAGAAACTTATTAATTAATGTCTATTATGTAAAATAAATAAAACATGAAAACATCTTGCCGTAAAGGTTGAGAGAGTATGACATAAAAGTGATTAGTGAAAATGATGTTTTTAGGGAAGTGGTAAAGGAAATAGTAATCTTTTGAATAGACATGATATTGACATGCAGATCTAACTCGCATGTCTCTATTATGTTACATACATAAAACATACCATCCAACTAGATAAACATGGGAATAAATTGCAATTTTCATTCTCCTCTGTCAATTTTGTGACATCTTACAAAAACTTTTAAAAAATTCTTGTGACATTTCATGTTTATCTCATTTCTTAGTGGACTAAACTTTGATCCATCACCGTTTACATAAATATAATTTAACAAAATTTATTTTACAAGAAACCTTTATCAAATTATTATTCATATTAGCTTTATTAAATTAGTGGGAAATAGGAGATAACTTGTACGCGAAGTATCACATCTCGTTCTCTGGTTATGCCAAGTGGATAATAGATGGGCCAAATGTCGCCTTGCGACAGCCAGCAAATCAAAATTCGCCATGTGTATATGCCACGTCACCCACCATCGCACAGTGCAGTTGAGCTGTATTTGTTTTCGGCACCGTTATAAACCCAACGGAATTTTTGTAACTTAACAATGGGTAAAACCGTCATTTATACTCGTCTCGAGAAAGTAACCATTAAAAACCTAAAGAAACGCGCTTTCCACGACGGTACGTGTTGGTGTGACATCATACCTTAGTTAAATTACAAAAATATCCTTGTCTCTCTCTGTTAATCATTTCTTTAATTAGATTTTCATCTTTTAAATCACAATAAATTTTTTTTTTAACAACTTTATTAGATTAACTTAAAATAGATAATTCTAAAAAATATATCAGTTGTGATTGGGTACAAATATTTTGTGCTAAATTATCCGCTTTTAAATTCGCACATCGAAAAATCAAAATCACAATAATTTTTTAATTTATCTAAGAAAGAGACCCGACTTGTGTACCTTAAATAGGAAAAAAAACATCGTATTCTACGAATCAAAAACGTGTAATACACGCTTTCACATTAAATGCAAACTAAATACAAAAGGGATAAAATCATAATTGAATCTAGACCCCCAAGTTGGAGGGGTAATTAAAGTAAATAAACAAAGGCACGTGCTAGTCTAATGACGGTTATAACCCTATCACGTGGTAGTCAACTCGCTTTACAGATATTACGAGAGTAAGGTCCCACAATCTTACTTGCCATTACCCTCTCTCTCCATAGTTAGTAGTAGTTGTGAGCGCGTCAACTCCACTTTCTAAGGCGCGTGAATAACGAAACCCCTCTCCCCCACCACCACCACCACCACTACTACTACTTCTTCCTTCTACAAATACCTCAAGAGTCTCTTTCCCTCGTCTTCTAGTGTTTTTTATTTTCTGTTATTTTCGCCTGAGACTGGGTCCCTGAGAATTTCACAAATCTCATTATTGAAACTTAACAAAACAGCAACCTCCGTTATTAAAGTTCCCTCCTCCTCGATTTCCGTGGAAAATCACACTTTTAACCATGGAACCTAGTAGCGTAATCGACGATGCTGAGTTTTGGCTTCCGCCGGAGTTTCTCACTGACGATGATTTTCTCGTTGAGAAGGAGAATAACGGTGTTGGAATCGATGACTCCTTGTTCCCGTACGAGCCTCGTCATGGATTTGGCTCTACCGTTAAGCCTAAAACGGTGAAGAAAGACGACGAGGAGAGTTTCTTAGCCGGATTGACTCAGCAGATGGTTAAGTCTTCTCTAGAAGATGATTTCTCCGGTGGATTTTGTGGTAATCACGCTTTTCCGGCCGGTAACGATAACAAGGTAGTTCGATTTCGACCTAAAACCAACTTCGTTCTCTATCGTCTCTGTTTTTCTTCGATTTTTGATTTTTCATTGTTTTTTTTTCATGGTTCTACAGGCGTGGGGAATGAATCGTCCGTCTCTGTGTGTCGCCGGAACTGGCTGTTGTTGCCGAAATCAGCGATTGAACCAGAACTCCAATTCGCGAGTTTCTTCATGGGATCTGTACTGTGCCGCGGAGAGGATGAGTATCAACGACGAACCGTACCATACTGGCAGAGGACTTCTCAGTCCTCCCACAAAACATTCCTCCGTCGCCGCCGCCGTCGAAAACCACTCCAACAACGGCACCGGTTACTACAACAACCATCAATCTCTCCAATACCAGAAGCTACAAGCTATCCAGGTAATCAATCACAAGCAAAACTCTCTTAAACACTTGATTTTTGAGTTTTTGTGTGCGATTGTGCTGATTGGTTTGTTTTCATTTGTCTTCTTCCGCAGTATCAGCAGCTAAAGCAGCAACAGTTAATGAAACATCATCGCCAATTGGTGCATCAGAGCAGAGGAGTAATAGTTAATGGCAACAAAAATGTTGGTCCTGTGGATTTGTCGTCTTCTGCATGGTCTAATCAGCTTCCGAGGCGTGAAGTTATGAGAGCTGTATTCATCGGAGACCATACCGGAAAACGTGGCTCAACAGGAACCGGCGTCTTCTTACCTCGAAGCGTTAACCATGCTTCAAGAACTGAGACTCGCGAGAAGCCCAGTAAGTTCCAAAAAAGTTCAATTCCCAAATGTCAATTTTTGGTTTCCTATTTTTGTTTAGTTTTGTGATGGGAAATGTTTTTGGTCTTGGGTTTAGCTATATCGACAGTTTTGGTTCCGGCTAGATTGGCTCAAGTCCTGAATTTGAACCTAGGCGAACCGGTCCGGTCTTCGACAAATCTCAACGGTATAACAAATTAATCTCAACTTCTATACTTCTATATAGCTAATTCAAGTTAATTGAGCTGTCAGTTGTATAACCAATTGGTTTAATTTTTGTTAATCATGTAGATATGTCGTGGAGACAGAGGAGCAACAATGGTGGGTTCTCGAGCCAGATGCACGGTGGCGTGAGGGCAGAGCAGTCAGTGCAAGAGCCTCGGTTACCTTCTGAGTGGGCTTATTGACTGATTTTGGTGTTCGTAAACTTTGGATGTGTTTAGGGTGAAGATTTTACGGGTTTGATGAAAGAAGAAGATTAGGATTTGATGATAGGTAGTGAAATAGTGGAAAAAACGTTAGGGTTTATATAGATAGTGGAATATTTGGAAGAAGAATAAAGAAAGTTGCAAGTGTGGAGAGGACGAGGTTTTGGATCGTTTAACCACCCATTGATGGCTGATAGATGAAGAAAAGAGAGCTTTGAGAGAGAGAGAGACAGTGGTGACATTTTTTTGGGTTTTCTTTTTTTACTTGGAAATTAAATGTCAGCCTGTCACCGGGCTGTTCCTTTAGTGTAATCCCTCTCTCCCTCTCTTTTTGTTCTCGCAACTCTTAAGCAATGGAGAGAGAATTAAATAAATTAGTAAAAGAAAAGTTAGTTATATAATTTTGTTTGCCATCAGATGGATACATAATTTCTAATTTCTAAAATCTTTGCATGCGAAATCATATCTTGATACTGAACTCTTTGATAAGAAAATATCTACTCTTTTTTCTTAATTGATTATCAGAATTTGACAATCTAATTTTGGAGAAGAAATTCTCACAAACCGAGAGCTAACAGTAACAAGTACAACCCATAATTGGGTAACACAAATTGACTTAAAAAAAAAAAAATGGGTAACACAAACCGTCTTAATCTGAGGTAAGAACATCCTAATCAACATGTTGTCTTCCACAAATTAGTTTCACACGTATATAATATAATATACTACTTCCTCTGTTCCTGAAAATTTGATGTTTTATAGTTTACACATATATTAAGAGGATGTTATTGGATTTGGGTTTTTAATGGACTTTGAAATCTAGTGTTATTCAATTATGTATTTGCAAAAGTACGTTAAAAATTTGCTGTTATTGGATTAGTATTTGTTTGATGCATTCTTAAATGAATTAAAAACAACTGTTATTCAATATTCATTTGATTTGTTTCATTTTGGATTTGAATGTACTTTTACTCATAAAACATGAACAAAAACAATCCAAACACTTAATCAAGTATTTCAAAATTCCACGTGAACTCCACATACAAGCATTGAACTTCAAAATCCAATTCACATATTATCTGTCAATTCAAGTCCATAAAAACCTCAATCCAATAACAGCTCCTAAGAAACAATCATGATTTAATCATTTAATAATTTTTTCTTTTTATTAAATATTTTTAATAATGTATGAACCAATAGTAATCTAAAACAGTTAATTATTTGTAATCATTATGCTTTGAAATCTTTGATTTGTTAATATTAATTAATAAAAAATAAAATAAAAAGCTAGAAAATCAATCTTTGTGGAACAAACCTAAAACACTAGAACATTAAACTTTCAGGAACATAGGGAGTATGATTTTGAAAATATATTAGTTACTAAATCAACTAAAAAAATAACGTTCTTAAGAAAACGTACCAATTGAGACAACTACTGACACAGGCAGAAGTAACCAATACAAAAAGAAAAAAGGTGGTACTATGATGATGCCCAAAAACCTAATGAGCCTTGTTATTAGCAACAAAACACAGCTCCTATAGTATATTCAAACTCCTAAACAAGTGAAATGGTAAAATTGTAATGAAAGGAATTTGGCAACCCATTAAACAAATACTCCCTAGTATTGATGTAGCAGTCGAAGAGAAGTAATTAATGGATCATTAAATATCTAGAAGCACACGAGCAGTTAAATAACTCGATCTTTGATTAAATGCTAAAATGCTGGTCTTCTTTGTGGAGCAACGTGCAGACTTTGTCCTATATGCCATTTGTTACTCCAGATATATTGTCGCCAGATTAAATATAGTTTCAGTTTAGTTGTCGTTTTAGGATTTAAATTTTGTTTCATAATAGTTGTCGTTTTAGGTTTTCAATACAAATGTTTGGTGAAAATTCCAGGTTTATCCCTACTGTTTTAATGTTTTGGCCAATAAATTTTTTTATAAAATATATTAATAAAAGGTAAAACAGAAAATTTAATGTTTTTCTTAATTTGAGTGAAAAAACCTTAAACGACAACTAAAACGAAACGGAGGGAGTAGACAACTTCTAATATGGTATTGAAATTTGAGTAGTGGCAGCTGTTTTTAGTTGTCTTGGTTTTCTCGGTGTTTGTTTCCAACAACTAGTACGAAATCACCATGTCCAATTTTTAATTATTGGTAGTAGTATTAATCTTTACTTTCTTTCGTCGACCTATATTATTGTTTGTTTTAAGATTCATACACCTACACCAAGAGCTTCAAGTTTTGTAACCACATATTCTAATTAGCACGGTAATGATTCAATGGAGTCACCCATGACTTTAAACATAAATTGGTTAGAACGCCGTTTGTACCAAGTAACAATTCGTCTTGATCTAGTCTTTCAATCCAATACCTTAATCTTAAACCATTTTCCGTGGGAGTATGTGAATGGGACTCACATTTTCATGTGGGTGTTTGTATTTTTGACTGCTTCACGCGGTTCGTATCGTTCTACTAAATTATTGGTATTTGTTTGGATATATAACATTAATGAAAACCACTTGCATTTTCACATGACTCCGCATTTATGCTACTTTCCTCACTTTCCATAATTCACATAAAAACAATATATACAGTATGATTACTATTTTGAAGAAATACATTAACGTTGGTCTCTGTATTCACACTTAGTTTTTTTCGAATTTGAAATCTCTAAGAATTCAAATTTGTACTTTCACAATCACATCCGTGTTCTATTCGGAAACTACATAATAAGGTATATTATAGTACTTGATTGTTTAGCCTATCCAATTAACAAAACATATGGTAGATTTTAAAATATGGCTTAAATGGCATCAACTGCTAACATGAAAAAACATGTCCTATGGATTATTATTGGCAAGAGCGAATTTTAATGAAAGTTACGATGCTTGATTTCTTAAAGATTAGTATTGTGTATTGAAGAAAAACTGTATTTGCAAGAGAAGAAATTAGCTTTGAAATGTATCCCTATATTTATATACATTCGTCACTATATGTGATTACTGTCTCTGCAGACCAATATTAAAAACAACAGGTTGACCTATTTGCAACCATCTGTCTGCAACTTTGTTTCATCTTTTTTTTTTTTTTGGATTTTCTTTGGTCGGCCTTTTTCTTTATGTGGATTTTGAATGCTAAGAAAAAAAGAATTTGAGTGAATTGGTTCTCACATGTATAGAAGAAATTTTCAACAGTCAAACACATTTGCTCAACTAACAACTACCAAACCCATCACCAAATTTTCGTTTCATTTGTTGTGTTGTACAAATTTTAGATCCAAAAATGTTCTTCCAAAATCGATTGAGGTGCTTATGTACGTACATATATATTAAAAATATAACATAATTCCAAATGTTGTAAACTGTGTTGTTCTATTGATTAATGAATGAGATTTCGATACATATATATACATGATGAGGGGAGACAAATCCCCATTGGGCTAGTAAACCCTAAAGCCCAAAAGCCCACTAAGTACAATATAGGCCGTCATAAGGAGAATCTTCAAGAACATGGGCATGGGCCTTCTAGGACATGGACATGGGCCTTCTAGAATATGCATAAGGTCCACGGTTATGGAGTCCATCCAACATGTGGTTTATAACACTCCCCCTTAGATGACATAACCGTGTAGATGCCAAAGGATCTCAGTAATACGCTTGGGGATGCTGCCTCATTAAAACCTTACCAGGAAAACCCATTGGGACAAAACCATGGTTAAGGAAAAAGAGTACAGCACGTATTACTCCCCCTGTTTTGGTCATCCCTGCAAGTCCTTAAGTCTCCGCATTCCAATTTGATGCGTGAGCTTCCTCAATGTCGATGTTGGTAATGCCTTGGTAAAGAGATCGGCTGAGTTGTCGCTGGATCGAACTTGTACCACTCGAACTTCTCCATCCCTTTGCAAGTCATGCGTGAAGAAGAACTTTGTTAGAATGTGCTTCGTCCGATCTCCCTTGATGTAGCCGTCCTTGAGCTGAGCGATACAGGCGTGTTGTCTCCTCATATGATGGTCTTTGATGTTGTAGTAGCTGCGCCTTGAAGAAGGCTGCCTACGTACCCTTGGAAGGGATCAAGCCACACGTAGTTCCTATCTATTGACCATGCCATAATCTGATTTTACCTGCATCAGCAAAACAAACTAAACCAAAGCAAACTAGACCTTCTTTGGTTAGATCAGTATAGAATAAAACCCAAATAAACAAACATAGGAAGAATAGAATTTAAAATTTAACCAAACCTTCCTTCAAACCTTTCTAGTGCCTTTGGGTTGATCATGAACTAAATTTAGGCAAAGGAGGTTCACGGCAAAACATATGTCTGGTCTAGTGTGGCTAGCCAAGTACATTAACGCTCCTATGGCACTAAGGTATGACACTTCAGGATCGAGAACTTCTTCCTCATCCTTCTTTGGACCGAATGGATCACTATCCAATCCGAGGCTTCTCACCACCATTGGGCTGCTCAATGGGTGGGCCTGGTCCATATTGAATCTCTTGAGTACTTTTTCAGTATATGCCTTTTGATGCACAAGGATTCCATTATTCACGTACTCAAGTTGCAATCCCAAACAGAATTTTGTCTTGCCTAGGTCTTTCATCTCGAATTCTTTCTTTAGATATTTGACTGTTTGGGCGATTTCCCCAGAGGTTCCAAGGATGTTCAAATCATCCACATATACTGCTATTATCACAAACCCTTCGTTTGCAAATTTCTTTATGAAGATACATGGACTGATGGGATCATTCTTATAACCTTCTCTGACTAGGTACTCGCTTAATCTATTGTACCACATGCGTCCACTTTGTTTCAGTCCATAAAGCGATTTGTTCAGCCTTATGCAGTATTGGTCTCGAGACCCTTTCTTATCTTTATCTTTGAGCTCAATACCCTCTGGTAATCTCATATATATCATCCAGTGGACTTATATAAATATGCAGGCATTACATCCATTAGCCGCAAATCAAGTCTTTTTCTTTATATAGCCAGACTTAGCAAAATTTAAATGTCTTAGCATCCACCACAGGGGAGTATGTTTCTTCATAATCTATCCCCGGTCTTTGTGAGAATCCTTGTGCTACAAGCCGTGCCTTATATCTCACGATTTCATTATTCTCATTTCTCTTCTTCACAAAGACCCATTTGTGTCCTACTGGTTTTTACATCGAATGGTGTCCTTAAGGTCGGACCAAACTCATTCCTTTTCTTAATGATTCTTAGCTCCACGTTTTATGGTCTTGTACCATTTAATCAATCAAGTCTTTGAGTGCACTCTAGTATAGACGTGGGCTCCTGATCCTCATTTATATTCATAAATTCAAGTGCTACCTTGCATGCAAAATCATCTTATGTCGACATTTCTTATATGTTCCATTATGTTCCAGACATGATATAA